CCTCCGGAGGATGAGTGAAGTTGAGTTTGGTTTGAGGGCACCTAACACAAGTCACTGCATTCCAGCTGGAGTCTCACACAGGGGGATAGTCCCACGCAGCGCCCTCCAGTGCTTAGCAGAGATCATGTGCCACACAGCAAAGTAAATAAATGAATGGCACATAAAACTGTCTTTACTCCAACAGGTACTTCCGTATTTTTCAGAAGGACCCAACAGCAAGCCTTGCATTTGGTGCATATAGTGTCAGTTGGGGTCACTGTCCCCTTCTGACTAGATAGGATTACCTCAAATCTACCCTTGTGGCCCACTACGCCCATGCCATCTCCAGTGGAAGTTCAAAATGTCCCCAAGTTGGCTGGGAATTCCCAGTGGGGTCACTGTCACAGTCGCCTTTGATCTCTGATAGATTCGTTCATTGCTTCATGTCCCCGTCCACCACCTCGATCTGGATGCCCATCGTTTGGTGCTGGCTGTCCCCCACTCTTCCTTTTCATGCTGACTGAACCCCCACACCTTCCCACCGTGTGTGGGAGAGTCAGGATCCCTTTGGGTCTCACAGGACGGCTTTCCATCCGGTGACTCCCTGCATCTCAGGTTTTCTAGCTTATGTGCTCTGTGGCAGGGCACAGGAAATGGATGGGGTCGAGAGTGGAGAAGGTAAAGGTGAGAGACCCATTCTGAGGAAGGAGCTGATATTCCACAACACTAAGAAAGCAGAAGGCTATGAGTTAAAGGAAGCTTTGGAAAAGAAAACCCTCATGTTTTCCCTTGCTTTTTTCCCCTTTTACAGTATCCACTAACGGTTACAGTCAGTCAGGTTACCCTAAAATGAGGGAGTCCTTTCAGTGCAAGTATTGGGACTCCAAGAAGACCCCAAGAGTCCATCATAAAAAGTGCCATTGCAGGGTGTGGTGGTGCAGAGAGGCAGGTGGATCTCAGTTCAAGGCCAGCCTGGTCTATATTGACCTTCAGGCTAACCAGTGGTACATAGTGAGACCATGTCTCAGAAACCAAAATAATGACAAAACCTAACATCCAATGAAGTGGTTTTTTGTATGTGTGCTGATTTGAAAGACAATGACCTCTAAATGGAGTGCCACTAATAGGAGGTGTGGCCTTGTTGGAGTAGATGTGGCCTTGTTAAAGGAAGTGTGTCATGATGGAGGCGGGCTTTGAGGTCTCCTATGCTCAAGATTCTGTTCAGTGTCTCAGAGTGCTTCTTATTGCCTGTGAGTCAAGATGTTAGGACTCTCAGCTCCATCTCCAGCAGCATGCCTGCCTGCACGCTGCCTTACTTTATGATGATAATGGACTAAACCTCTGAACTGTAAGCTGCCACCCGTTAAATATTTTCCTTTATAAGAGTTGCCATGGTCAGCCGGGCGGTGGTGGTGCACGCCTTTAATCCCAGCACTCGGGAGGCAGAGGCAGGCGGATCTCTGTGAGTTCAAGGCCAGGCTCGACCGACAGCCTCCAAAACAATACAGAGAAACCCTGTCTCGTAAAACCAAAAAAAAAAAAAAAAAAAAAAAAAAGAGTTGCCATGGTCATGGTGTCTCTTCACAGCAGGATGACATTGGCAGGGTGCCATTTCTGAAAGCAAAAGAGCACATGAAGAGATAGCCACGCCCTATCTCCATTAGTCAGTAGCTGTAGCCAGCGTATTCGTTACCTTTTCCATTGCTGTGACAAAATGCTTGACAGGGATGACTTAAGGAAGGAGGAGTATATTATGGCTCATGGTTTTAAAAGTTTTGGTCCACCAGGGAGGGAAAAGCACAGCAAAGAGGCTCAGTCTTTGGTGGTGGCAGTCTTTGGTAGCTGTTCACATCGTGGTAGACCAGGGAACAGGCCAGAACCAAGGCCAGGGTATGGCTTTCAAAGGTCTACCTTTGTGACCTACTTTTACCATCCAGGCCCCATGACCAAAGGGCTCCGTAGCCTTCAAAATGGCGCCATAGATAGGGAGTGAGCCCTAAAAAGGACACTTCAGATTCAAACCACAACAGCAGGTGAGGTCTGGTCACTCCCCTCTCATGATTAGCCTTGCATTTACATGAAGTAGCTTTCAGAGTCGAGGACTGCTGAAACTGGTGGTGCTCCCCACTACTGAATTCTAGGCATCATATTTAATAGTCATTTCTGTTAAGAGAAGCTTTTTCTTGAGAGAAGCCTTTCCGCCAGCCTGGTTCCAGATCCGCATCAGTCCCAGATAAACACACAGGAGGCTATATTAATTATGAAGCTGTTGGCCTTGTTTGTCTCTTACTGGCTAGCTCTGCCTTAAGTAATTACCCCATAATTGTTAATCTAAGTATGTTTCTTACCGGAGAATAGTTCCCGGCGTCCTATCCCCATGGCGTCACATGTTGACTCTCTTGTGTTTCCCCTTCCCAGAATCCTCCTCGACTCCTAGTCCCTCCTATCTAGGTTTTCTATTGGCCAGACAGTACTTTATTGACAAATGCACAGGCAAATAACAGGACTTCCCCAACATCTCCTCTTTTCTGTTTAAACAAAAGAAAGGTCTTAATTTTAACATAGTCAAATTGTATATGACAGAACAGTTATCAAGTAAGAACATAGTTACAATATTTTAGCAAGATTTAAAGAAAATATCATCCATCCCATCCTTGTGAGTCAAAAGTTCTATATGTATCTTTTATCATAACTAAGGAAAACTATAATTATAACTATCTGTCTTCAACTCCATCAAAGACCACAGAAGGATAATATATAAACACTAGGATTGACAGAGACATCTTACTGCCTGGACAGTCACCCGAAGTTCCTCTGTAATGTTGGGGCATCCATCTTCAGCCCATAGGCCACAATGTGTCTGGAACACTTCTCAGCAAAGCAGGAAATTTCAAACTGTCCATCTGTGTTGGCAGTCTGTCAGTCATTTTTCTTTGTCCTGCAGAATGTCTTGTAGACTCTTCATCAAGCAGGAACCCTGTAAGACTGAGTTCAGTAGTCACTTTCCTGTGGGTCCTGCATGTCCAGATGATACAACAACAGTCAAACAATCTAGGCAAGAGCAGTTTCTTGCCCAAATGGCTAATCTTGCCATGTTGAAAGCAAACTTTATAACGAGTTTCTTCGATGCCCATCTTCCTCTCAGACGTAATTGGTGCTGCCAGGAGCAGACATTTCTCATTGTCAAGACAAACCCTAAACCATTTTAAATGCCATGTTCTGAAGGTCTTTAAGAGGTTTGAAGACTGTCCATCTCAAATGTATTTTTGTATATCTAGAAACCTAACTTATGTAACTAGAAATTCTATTATAAGTAACTATCTATAGTCTGTATTCAATTATGCATTACGTTGTAAAAGATCAGTATAAGCACAATACTTAATCAAGAGGAGAAATATAAGCATCACAAAATTGACCTTGATTTTGTCTCAATAAATGAAAAACAATACCCATACCATAATTCCCCTTTTTACCATTAAAAAAGATTGGCTGTGATCACTAGCCAATTATAAACAATCCCATTTAAATGAAAACAAAGATTTATAAACAAGATGGGAATTAGGACGTCGCTCATTCCAAACTGCTTCCTGCTGGAAGGGGGCGCTGTTCATACCATGGGGATCATGACAAGACTCAGAAACCTGTATAAGTCCGTATTTTCGGGGTCTGTAAAGCTGCATCATTTTAGCTGTCTCAATAGTTGGAACACCTGGTCCACTGCTTCTGGGGGTCTTGGTTCATCGAACCACAGAAACCTGGAAGGAATCCTCAGCTTTTCATTTTCTGTGGAAACATAAATAAAATCTCCTTTTCCGAGTAACATATCCTTATACTTAAATTTTGAAGTCAAGGCATTTTCAAAAGATATAAGTTGAATTAATTTAGCAGCATTTATAATCAAGTGTACTTTAGCAGCTGTTCCTTCCTTAGCAATCAAAAAACTGAAAAACACAATAGCGTACAGTATCCAGACTCTCTGTGTATTTTCCATCTTTACGTGGCTTATTTATTTATCTATTATTACTTTATTTCTTTTACTTTTGTTTTTCTCTGAGACAGGGTTTCTCTTTGGAAATCCGCCTGCCTCTGCCTCTGGAGTAAATCCTACCGGCGTGTGCCACCACAACGCTGGCTTTTCTATTTATTTACCACTTTGCCGTTTCATTTTCTCTCTCAATCTCACGTATATTTTTAAACACACTGTAAACCTTTAGAGGTTTTTCTTTATCCAAGTCTGACTTTACTGTAAATCTTTACGTTTTTCTGGCCACGCGTCTTATCTGTTAAAACTGCGGCTGTTTTAAACTGCCGTTTCAAGATGGCGGGTGTAAGCGTGACTCCAGCTTACCGCCTCAGTCCATGCTGACATCCAGCAAAAGCTGCCACTTCCAGCTGTACGTACAACTTTTAAATCGTTAGCAGAGTCTCTTAAAACAACCTTGTTGGTTTTTTTTTTTTTTCTTTTTATGCCGAGTCAGAAAGACTCCGGTAAGTGAGCAACGTGAATCTCGGCTTGTCACTAGCAAAACAGAGCACACCTGAGAAAAATGCTGCTACCAAAATCTGTGCTTCTCTCCGTTCTTCTGTTTCTAAAATTCCTTTAAATCTTTTGTCATTCTACGTGGAAATTCAATCCCACTTCTGACACCATTATGTTAAGAGAAGCTTTTTCTTGAGAGAAGCCTTTCCGCCAGCCTGGTTCCAGATCCGCATCAGTCCCAGATAAACACACAGGAGGCTATATTAATTATGAAGCTGTTGGCCTTGTTTGTCTCTTACTGGCTAGCTCTGCCTTAAGTAATTACCCCATAATTGTTAATCTAAGTATGTTTCTTACCGGAGAATAGTTCCCGGCGTCCTATCCCCATGGCGTCACATGTTGACTCTCTTGTGTTTCCCCTTCCCAGAATCCTCCTCGACTCCTAGTCCCTCCTATCTAGGTTTTCTATTGGCCAGACAGTACTTTATTGACAAATGCACAGGCAAATAACAGGACTTCCCCAACACATTTCTACTCACAGGCCCCACCAGGAGAACAGCATGCCGTTCAAGGACTCAACGCCCTGTTCGTCAGACCTCAAGCAGCTGTCCCTTCCTGGCCAAGGTGCCTCTCGGCCTTTGCCTACTCCCTCCAGGAGTTGTCACTCTACAGCAGCTCCCGGCCAGGCTGCCTGCTGGATGTCTTCTGCATCAAACACAAAAGAACCCCAGGAGCCTACAAATCTGAAAGACTCCCCAAGTGACATTCCTGTCAGGGCTGATGGGTACCGGAATGAGGCCTACTCAGGAAATTCTCTCCCAGTTTCTCCTTTCCACAGCAGCTGCAGCCTAGAGAAGGAGTCAGAACTTCATCTGTATGTTATTTCCGAAACCTCATCGATATTTCTGCACTTGAAGAGTTCATGGAACAACTACATTATAGTAAGCGCCCTCACATGCTAGCCTCGGTGGGTTTGATTTTTGGAGGGATGGCAGTGGGGGGGGGCAAACATGCTTTCCTGTTCTCTCCATTTTGGGGACTGAGCCTTGGAATTTACTGATTGTTGTGAAAGTTAAGAATGCACCAGAGAAGTAAGGGGAGGTTTCATTCTGGTGTTTGCGGTAAGGAGACATGCTTACTAATGAATAATGCCTTGGGGGCTGGAGAGCTGACTCAGTGGTAGAGCACTGGCTGCTCTTGCAGAGGCTGGGGTTTGATTCCCAGCACCCACATGGTAGCTCACAACCATCTGTAGCTCAGTTCCAGGGGATCTGATGCCCTTTTCTGGTCTCCTTGCATACATGCAGGCAAAGCAGTCATACATATGAGAGAGAGAGAGAGAGACAGAGAGAGAGACAGAGACGAGGGAGGGAGACAGACAGGGAGAGAGAAAGGAGAGAGAATAATAGTGTCTTAGGGAAAGAGGAAGAACCTGGGTTTTTGAGGAGGCAAGGAAGCAAGGACAGCCATGATGGAGTTTCCCCAGGGGGGTTTGCAGTTATCTGGGTGACACAGAACTCAGATAAAATTCAGATTATTTTTAGCAGGCAAGAACTGTGACAGTCCCTACCCTTTTCCTCTTTCAGAGAGCTACTCTTTCACAAGATTCTCCACGTAGCAGTGAACATGATCACATCATTGAGAATCCAAAGCCATACAGGTAAGGTGTGATGCATGATAGACTCATTGGAGACTTTCTCTGCTCTTCACTTCTTCCAGCTCTAAGCTGTGTATGCGTGTGTGTGTGTGCATGCGTGCGTGTGTGAGCGCGTGTGCGTGCGTGTGCACGTGCTCGTGGTTGACTGCCTTATATATACTCCTACCTCAGCATCTGCCTTATAGACACAGTACTCATTGAGACAAGTTGAGTGTCAGAGGACACAAGGACTAGGGTGCCTGAAACACAGTGACTAGATGTGTGACAGGCATCGTAGAAGGTGCCCCCTGCTCCTTTCCCTTAGAGATAAAACACAGTGAACTTGAGAGTGACTTCTGGCACCAGCCCCCTTTTCCATAAAAACAGCCAACAAATGGCAAGAGTTGCGCCTTTCCTGTAACCACTCTGGATTATCAAGTGGCCCTAGTTGGTGACAGCAAATTCTCTTTCATTACAGTCCAGCTAATGAATGCAGATTTAATTAGAAAATTACCAGTGTTTGCAACCTTTGATGAAAGAATAGATCTATACTGCAATCCTCAGTGGATCAAATCAGAGGAGGGTGTTGGGTCCTTTGGAACTGGAGGTACAGACAGATGGCTGTGAATCATCTCTGGAAGAGGTCCTCTGGAAGAGCAGCCAGTGCTCCTAACCACTGAGCCCTCTCTCTGGCGCTTTATTTAGCACTTTATTTAAATGGTGGCTGAGGTTGATACTATAGTAAATTGTACTCTAAGTTTGTGGAAACTATATTTCTGTTGTTTCTGGAGTCCTTGAGAGAGTATAGAGATCTTATAGTCTTTGAAATTGAAATGCAGATATCAGAGTGAATGATTGGGAGACAGGTCCTCAAACATAGTCCAGTTTTATTTGGAGATGACTTTGTATTAAACACTTGTACCCAGGGTATGTAGTCATTGAAGCATCACAGCCCAGTGGTGCTGCTATCATCCCACTGCACAAACTTGACAACCGAGGTCCTGAGGGCTACGCAACTTTCCCATAGTTTAATAATAGAGCCAATCTAGGATCGGATCTCAGGCCTCGTGCTTCCAATCATTGTTTTTCTGATGGTAGGACTGCTGAAATTGTAACGATAACCTCCAGCTTTCCTACTGGGAAAGACTCCATCCCTTCCTCGGGAAGTTGGGTTTAATACAAAAGGCTCATTGGCTGCCTCAAGAAAAGCTCAGATGCTTTTTAAATAAAGAGACAGGTGGTGACGGGAACCAACATTTCATATAGTGGTAGTGGGGTAAATGACTGTACCCAGAGTTCTGGAGGAGGTGATAAAATTGCTTTTACCTGAAGTCAAGGATGTTAAGAGTCGGCTAATCTATGGGGAACAAGAACTATCTGTCCTGCTGTTGTTTACACACAGATGTTCTAGATAATTACCTTGGGAGCATGAGTAGGTTCTTTCTCTCTCTGACTTACATGCTAAAGCCACAAGGGGTCCCAGCTCAGTCTGCACAGGGCAGCAGAAGCCCCCAGCCTGGAGCTTGCCACACAGCCAGTGAGTGCCCCTTCTGGTGCAAATTACGATGTCTGAGCACATGTGAGGTTCATAAAAAAAATTCATTTGGTGTGTGTATGTGTGTGTGTGTGTGTGTGTGCGCGTGTGCGCGCGCGCATGTGCCATACCTTGTATGTGGAAGACAGAGACTTTTTTTTCTTCAAGACAAAGTTTTTCCTATGTGGCCTTGGCTATCCTGGAATTTACTCTGTAGACCAGGCTGACTTTGAAGTCATAGAGATCCTCCTGCCTCTGCCTCCCAAGTGCTGGGACTAAAGGCGTGCACCACCACTGCCCAGCTGGAAATTTCTTTATAAATATTTTTATTTCAGCAAACGAATTGATGTAAGGAAAACATTAAACAAATGATATTATCCAGGGCTCCTGGACTGTTTTAATGAAGAGTTTGCCAGAGACAACAAGAGCGTGCCAGCCGGTCAAGGACAGGGGTGAAAACTGAGTTAGAGACTGATAGACAGCATTTTATGTGAGTGAGGTTTTTTTGTTTTTTTTGTTTTGTTTTGTTTTTGTTTTTACGAGACAGGGTTTCTCTGTATTTTCAAGGCTGTCTGTCCAGCCCAGCCTCGAACTCACAAAGATCCGCCTGCCTCTGCCTGCTGAGTGCTGGCATTAAAGGCATGCGCCACCACCGCCCGGTTATGAGTGAGGTTTTGCTGCTAATCAGTACTAAGGTGAGCAGTTCAAAGTTCAGCTGGGATTCTAATGGTCACAAACTTATATAGAATTGTCAATAATTGTGGTATTTGTGAATGGCAGCTCCTTACTTTTTACATGAATCTTTGTATGTGTGTGTGTTTCTGTAGATCCGAGGAGAAAATTAAGCACTTCAGTCAACTGAAATCTGAGCTTTTCCTTCAAGACAACACTTTGAGGGAGATTCTGTGTGTGGTCACAGAACTTAGACTAGCAGCCCAGAGAAATTTCATCCTGAAAAGACTTTTCTGGAAAGTAAGTATTTTACTCTTCATGTTTAAAACTTGTTTTATCTGCTTATCAAATTTAAATGTAAATTAAAGCAGAAGTACAAGTTGTAGTCGTGTTTTAATATTTAAGATTTTGTGATGTAATCAATATTACGTATGCGTATGGGGAGAAGATGGACCGAAAGGGGAGCCACCGTACGAAGTATGAAGCAGGTTGAGTTGATGGTGTAGAGGGAAAGCCTTTGGCAGTGAGATGGAGGAGAAGGGGACTTTAACAAGCTTTTCTACACGTTTTCCTTTAGTAAGAATAAATACTTGCCCTGGCCCGCGGGGTCAGTCAACGGGGACCTTAGGGGAGGGAGTGAGAATGGGGGGACAAGAGACGCAGGAGATGGAGACAAGACAGGATTCTGATCAAGTCTCGTTTATTGAAAGTACCAACAGGGCTTAAGTAGGGCAGGTAGAAGAAGGGCGGGGGAGCAGAAGTTCTCCTTGGCAGGATATGTTCCAAGGACACAAGTCTGCAGCTGGGGGAGTCTGGACTACAGGCCAGGTGGCAGAAGGGTATGAGAGCCTGGACTGCAGGCCTTGAAAATATGCTGTACAGGAAGATAAGCAGACACAGAGAAACAGAAACTTAACTAAGTGTTAGTCTCTAGGAATACAGTAGGAATATTAAGATGGCTTCTATTATGCTATCCTTATTTGGGGCCCTCCATAGGTCCCCCTTTTTTGTATAAAGTAAAAAGGCCATAAGCTGGGATATCCTTGAGGGGGCCATGCCTGTCTTAGGTCAGAGGATCTTCTGGATCAGGAGTGTACGATAGCCCTACCCGTCATTGGAGATGATATCTCATGATGAGCATTCCTGTCTTAGGAGGCTATTAGGATGGGTCACTCTCTGTCCTTCCTCTGTTGCCCGTCATTGGCTAACCAGTCCAGCTCACCAAGGAGGAGATGAATCAAAAGTGATCTCATAGCTACATAATTTATGTAGTATGTGATTAAGGTTCATCACAGCCGTCTCCCATATTGGCCATGTCAAGATGGTGATAGTGCACCTGTATAGGCTGCGTCTTGATAGCATCCATTTGACTCTTAACGAAAGCCATCAGCTTATTAAAGAGAAAAGGTCCTAGTGATAGGAGAATTAATAAGCCAAGCAGGGGGCCTAACAAGGGAAGAAGATAGGGCAGAAGTCCACTCCAAGCACTCCAAATGGGCTGATCAAACAGTTCTCTGCAGCGTTTCTCAAACTCCTCTTGGTGTTTTTGATTCAGTCTCGGACAATGCCTGATTTATTGGCATAAAACCAGCATTTTTCCTGCAAAGTCAAACATATACCTCCCTTGTCTGCTGTAAGCAAATCTAGGCCTCTCCTATTCTGCAGGGTTACCTCTGCTAGGGAGTCAGCTTGGTCCTGAAGGTCCTGAACTGACCTGTAAATAGTCTACATCATCAAAAAGCTGCTGAGGTAGCTTGGGATATGTTTGTACAGCTACTCCCACGCCTGTGGAGCTGGTGCCTAATGCTCCTGATACTCCAAGTCCGACTAACAGGGGAATGAGTTGGATTGCCCTCTTCTGCCTGGGAATAAGATAATCCATGCTAGGCATTGGAATGGGCTCACTCCCTGGTATAAATTCTGTATCTGGAAGAAGGGTGGCTAATACACATAACCCTGTCCAATTGGCAGGTAGCATGGAGTAAGCCATCCCATTTCCACACACCAAAACTTGTTCAGGCTCAGAACAAAGTGCTGTGGACACATTAATTACTGAAGAGCAGGAGGTAAATGACGCTTGTCCTCCATCTATATCAAAGCTATTATTTTTTAAATGTTTATAAAAGCATAGGGAATGATTAAATCCTGTGGGTTGTATCTTAAAAGGAATGCTAAGCAAACAATTATTATCTGGCAGGGAACCATCAATAGGTACTGAGAAATTTTGTAACACTGGAATTGCCAGAGGCCATGAGGTTCCCACGGTCAAACATAACCAGCAATCCCTAGCCAAATGGGGATTAGTGATATTTAAAGCATAATGGGTAACAGACAATATTTCTGAGGTCTGAGGGTCAATATCCATGCCTTTAGACTTGGGAAATAATAATGGGTAATAATCTTTATGAGGAATCATGGAGTCAATTATATGTTGAATCTTTTCTTGGACCTTGGCTTCTCTGACCATATCTGTTGGGCCTCCATCAGAAACATGAATGGGAGCTACCTTGTTCCAGCATGTTGGCTTTCCTGGAGCAGCTCGGCAGGAGGCTGCAGCATATTTATAATTGCCAAGCACCTGGGGGTTAATAGACAATCTCCTCAACACTGCCAGAAAAGTTCTTAAGGGTATGGCAGTAAAATAAGTAAGACCATTATGTGTGCATTCTTGGAATGAGCTGAAGCACATAGCATTCATTTGGTCCACAGAATTGCATCCTACTGGACATGGTCCCGTTTGTCCATTGAGCTTAGGAATGATTTTAGGTTTATTAACGCATACCCAGTTTTGATCAAAGCCTCCATTCCTAGCAGGTACTATAATTAGATAGGCCATTTTATTTCCGCAGTCAGTGTGTCTAGTGTAAGTGCTACTTGTGTGTATAACACCAGCAGTTCCTCCTCCGCATTCACATGGAGCTCCAAATAATGCTTTCATCAACTCGTTTGGGTTGGGGGGGTGCCCTGAATCCTTCTTCTGAAGGAGGGGTCAATAGGAGGACAGTCTTAAGTATGATATGGATCCTCATTTCTGGAAAACAGAAAGGCATAAAATTCTCAGGAGGGGCAATTCCTCCTGGAATGAGTTATGTTAATATCTATTTATTTAACTAATCTTTCTAGAAACCATCTGGCAGATTTCATTTCTTTGGAGTATATGTATATTGAACCTCGTCCCCTTATTAGGACTGGATCAGGTCCATGCCAAGTGTTGTCTAAGGGGTCTTTCCGCATGACTGTGGCATAGGTTTTCTGTGTATCACAGTGCCAAAACCGTGTGGCAGCAGATTTTACATCATTAAATTTTAAAAATTAACAATGAAAAGAGCATGTGTCAGAATATTCCTTGGCATGCCTTTGGTGGGGTACCTTTTAATGTATTAATAGTTAGCTTGAGTGTAAGGTTAGCTCTTTCTACTCTACCTTGTCCTTGAGGATTATATGAAATTCCAGTGACATGGATGATAGCTAATTGTATGCAGAAGGTCTTAAAATTGGCACTGCTGTATCCAGGTCCATTATCAGTCTTGATTTGTTGAGGAGTGCCCATGACAGAAAATGCAGCTAACAAATGGCTGGTTACATGTTTAGTGCTTTCTCCGGTTTGAAGAGAGGCAAAGATAATATCTCCCAACAATTTTTGAAAATCATTAAGGGTATGAAGCCTATCTAATCTCAAAATAATTTTTTGAGATAAAATTTTATCTTCAAACATTTGAAAGCCTAAATAAGTATAGGGATCTTTGAGTTGTACTTTTTCTGGTGCTATTTGTATCCCCTTTTTGTTAGAGCATCACATAACTCTTTATAACAAAATAACACTTCTTCCCCTTTTTGTCCTGCTAAAAGGATATCATCCATATAGTGTATGATATACATCTGTGGCCATGAGTCCCTAACGGCTTATATAGCAGATGCTACAAAAGATTGGCAAAGTGTGGGATTATTAACTATGCCTTGGGGGAAGAACATGCTATTGATACTGGCACATAGGTGCTTGAAAATTTGGAGAAGGAAGACTAAAGGCAAAGCGTTTTTGATCATCTGGATGTAAGGGTATAGTAAGAAAGCAATCTTTGAGTTTTGTGGGCAGTTTCTTGAAAAATGGCCTGACTCGCCACAGCTAAAACATTTGTTTCTGCTTTGACTAGACAAGAACTGTCTAACAGCAGTGCCTTGCATAGCAGCTGCCATGGCGAGTCCTTGCTGATAAACTGCACCTATCTCAGCACAGAGGCGAATGTAGCCAGAAAGGTCTGTTTTTATACGATATGGTCTAATAGCTGCTTGGCAGGCAGAATTAGCATTTTCAAAAGCCAATTGTTTAACAAAGTGGTGCCTGAATCAGCATTTCCAAAAGTCCTACCTGTTGCTGTTAGCAAGCAGGGGACAAAGTCTGAAAAAGGCTCATCAGGCCCTTGTTTGATCTTAGTAAGGGAAGAGCTCATGTCCCCTTTGGCAGGTAGTCTCTTCCAGGCTTTAGTGGCAGCTGTTTGAATTTGGGCAAAGAGTCCAGGTTCATATTGCATTTGAACATCCTCTGCCTCATAATTTCCTTCACCCATTAACATAGCTGCATTCCAGTTATTGCCTGCCTGGGCATTTCTTTTTGCAGTTTCTTTACAAGCTTTGCAAATTCTGACTTCCATAAAAGATAGTCTCCCCCTGCCAAGGTTGCTCTAGTTAAAGTGTACCAGTCAGAGGGAGTAAGCCAATTGTTTGCCACAGATTTTATGATAGCAGTGGTATAAGGAGCTGTAGCTTCATATTGAGAGACTGCAGTTTTGACTTCTTTGATTACATTAAAATCAAAACCTGCATGATGTCGCCAGGCAGTGCCTTGTGCATCTGTTGTCTCGGTTACTGGAAAAGCAGTAATATTCTCTGACTCTGTCTGATGTTGGTGGGTAAGAGGTGTCTTAAGGGCAGCCCCCCTGAGAGGTGGCTTGGCAACACCTTTCTGAGAGGTGTTGGTGGACTTGCCTGTTTTCAAACTCTCTAGCTGGGTAATCAGGTCTTGATGTTCTGTTTCTAATCGAATCTGCTCTTTAAGATATTGAATTTTGTCTTGTAGCTCTTTTTGAGGGTTTAAAACTGGGCAAGCCAGAGAGGGGACTGTTGGAGGAGGCATATAAGGTGGAGACCTATGTTCTGCTAATGGAGGGCATTCTGGATCATGATATTTAGCTGCCTCTTCCTCCAAATCCTCCCACTCTTAGTCACTAAGACTATCTTCCATAGGCTGTTGACTTTTGGATAACTTTTTAAGTGAGCGATTTATCTTTTTAACTTTGGGTATAGCTCCCTCATCCTTTTTAGGTCGTGGTTTAGGTTGGGGTATCTTTTTGACAATCTTATCCTGGGTTTGTGGGCTACTCTTTTGAATCTCTTCTGAGTCACTATCAAATGACATAAGGTCCTGCTCCTCACTAGCCTGCTCTACTTTTTTATTTTAGTAGGTTTTAAGCATTACTCTCCTTTTTTTATTATATTTGTTACAAAAGGGTCATTCTGTTTCTGGAAAATAATTTTATTAATTAGATTCAAAATGAAAATGCTATAATAGGAATCTTTTCAGGGCCAAAAGTTTTATAGTAATTCTTTAAAGCATCTCCTACACTCTTCCACTTTTTTCATCTATGGTCCCTTCAGTGGGGAACCAGGGACAAACTTCCTTAATAAAGACAAAAGACTTTCACAAATCCTGTGTTTTAAGCCTAATCACTTGGGCCTTAAGTGCCTTCTTGAGGCCTTCAACAAACAATTCATGTTGACTCATGTCTTGTCCCATATCGTCACTCACTTACCGAGGTCTTTGTTGCTGCGGCAGGCTCTCGTCTTCCAACTACCTCTGTTTCTTTTCTTTTTGATATGGCCGGCTCTCCTAAGCGACATTCTTCACTGAAGCCCTTGTACCTGGGTCACCACGTTGGGCGCCACTTGCCCCAGCCCTCGGGGTCAGTCAACGGGGACCCTAGGGGAGGGAGTGAGAATGGGGGGACAAGAGACTTGAGAGATGGAGACAAGACAGTTTTCTGATCAAGTCTTTTTATTGAAAGTACCAAAAGTAGGGCAGGCAGCAGAAGGGAGGGGAGCAGAAGTTTTCCTTGGCAAGGTATGTTCCAAGGACATAAGTCTGCAGCTGAGGGAGTCTGGACTGCAGGCCAGGTGGCAGAAGGGTGTGAGAGCCTGGGCTGCAGGCCTTGAAAGTATGCTGTACAGGAAGATAAGCAGGCACAGAGAAACAGAAACTTAACTAAGTGTTAGTCTCTAAGAATACAGTAGGAATATTAAGATGGCTTCTATTATGTTATCCTTATTTGGGGCCCTCCACAAATATTGAAAAAATGCTTTTAAGTATAAAATTGGTATTTTTTCAAAAATGTGATCCCTGGGGAATCCCAACAGCTTGATTCTCACATGGTAAGCTAAAAGTGCTTCATTTTTGTTTTGGTTGGGAGGTGTTAAGAAGGAATGGTGAGCATGCGTGCTGTCACTGTGGTGCCCCTGGCTGCACGTGTCACCCTGCCTTCTTAGTGAGTAGCTGTGTAGTACACAGACACTCAGTCATCCAAGCAGTTGTGAGGTGCTGTATACGCAGGAGAAAAACCACATTGGTTTTCCTGATGACGGTGGCTTGCTGTCTTAGTGTGGGTGGTGCTGAGGAAGTCCCTGGGATGTGGGTTAGCTGGGATGGCCTCAAGCAAATGAAGATGGTCCACTACCATGATTGTCATGAAAGAGCAGCGATAGAGAATAGCAGGTCAGCTAATGACAACAGGGTAAGGGTGTTGTGCCACACGGACTGTAATAGTCAGAAGTGGTAGATTAGTAGGAAACACCCATGCACTCTTTGACCCTAGGATTTCCTTTGCTGTGTTGTGGGAAAATACAGAGGTAGACACCAGGCACTAGAATAACCAAGGATGTTGATTATGAAAATGAAATTCATACAGAAAGGCTAAAGAAATTGGATTATCTCCCACCCGAGGAAACTGCAGACCACCCCTGCCTGTGCATTATCAATTTAATCTACCCTAATTGTGTAGATTTGTTTGCTCAAAGACCTTCTGTAGACTGCCTTACCAAACTGCACACAAACACATGGCTTTGGTATCTAAAAGGGCCTTTGTTTCAGCAGGGCAAGGTAATCAATGGGCAGCTGTGATCTGGCCAGGGAAGGCGCTCAGAGAACTAATCCAGCTCTCAGTTTCCTAAAGGTGGGGGCGAGAGCCCCCTCTAAAGAGAAGTGAGAAAACCAAGATGGAAGCTGGTTCAGGGCCGGAGTGCGATCACCCTTGAACACTAAGTAATCCCTTAGTACCAAGAGGTGCTGCTTCATTAGGGCACAGAGGCAGGTTTTCCGGAGAGTGATGCAGATGATTGTCAGATGTAGATAGACTGTCAGCTGTGGACTGTCAGATATAGTCAGATGTAGATAGACTGTCAACTGTGGACTGTCAACTGTAGATTGTCAGATATAGTCAGATGTAGATAGACTGTCAGCTGTGGACTGTCAGCTGTAGACTGTCAGCTGTAGATACACTGTCAGCTGTAGACTGTCAGCTGTGGACTGTCAGCTGTAGACTGTCAGCTGTGGACTGTCAGATGAGGATTGTCAGCTGTGGACTGTCAGCTGTGGACTGTCAGCTGTGGACTGTCAGCTGTAGACTGTCAGCTGTAGACTGTCAGCTGTAGACTGTCAGCTGTAGATACACTGTCAGCTGTAGATTGTCACCTGTAGATTGTCAGCTGTGGACTGTCAGCTGTAGACTGTCAGCTGTGGACTGTCAGCTGTAGACTGTCAGCTGTAGATTGTCAACTGTGGACTGTCAGCTGTAGACTGTCAGCTGTAGACTGTCAGCTGTAGACTGTCAGCTGTAGATACACTGTCAGCTGTAGATTGTCACCTGTAGATTGTCAGCTGTGGACTGTCAGCTGTAGATACACTGTCAGCTGTAGACTGTCAGCTGTGGACTGTCAGCTGTGGACTGTCAGCTGTAGACTGTCAGCTGTAGATTGTCAACTGTGGACTGTCAGCTGTAGACTGTCAGCTGTAGACTGTCAGCTGTAGATACACTGTCAGCTGTAGACTGTCAGCTGTAGATTGTCAGCTGTGGACTGTCAGCTGTAGACTGTCAGCTGTGGACTGTCAGCTGTAGACTGTCAGCTGTAGATTGTCAGCTGTGGACTGTCAGCTGTAGACTGTCAGCTGTAGACTGTCAGCTGTAGATACACTGTCAGCTGTAGATTGTCACCTGTAGATTGTCAGCTGTACACTGTCAGGTGTAAATAGACTGTCAGCTGTAGACTCAGCTGTAGACTGTCAGATATAGTCAGATGAGGATTGTCAGCTGTGGACTGTCAGCTGTACACTGTCAGATATAGACTGTCAGATGAGGATTGTCAGCTGTACACTGTCAGATATAGACTGTCAGCTGTAGACTGTCAGCTGTAGACTGTCAGCTGTAGACTGTCAGCTGTGGACTGTCAGCTGTGGACTGTCAGCTGTGGACTGTCAGCTGTACACTGTCAGCTGTGGACTGTCAGCTGTGGACTGTCAGCTGTAGACTGTCAGCTGTGGACTGTCAGCTGTGGACTGTCAGCTGTGGACTGTCAGCTGTACAGGCCTCAAACTCACAGAATCTACCTACCTCTGCCTCCCAAGCTGGGACTAAAGGCATGCACCACCACTGCCCTGAGCTGGGTGTGGTGACTCTGGAGGATTAACTTTTCTATTTAAAAGAGTATGTTTCATGGCCCCACCTGAAGCTCTGGCTGTCCCAGCAGCCTGTGACAGGCTTTGGGAGCCAGAGCCGGGCGACCGTCCCTCTGGAGCTCACACAGAAGTAGGGAGATTAGAAGCACTTCCGATTTTTAGTGCTGGGCAAGAAAATCAAAATTTGCATCTATATTTCTTTGTTAAAGGTGAACTTTGTGGCCGGGCGTTGGTGGCGCACGCCTTTAATCACAGCACTCGGGAGGCAGAGGCAGGCGGATCTCTGCGAGTTCGAGGCCAGCCTGGTCTACAGAGCAAGTGCCAGGACAGCCCCCAAAACTACACAGAGAAACCCTGTCTCGAAAAAACCAAAAAAAAAAAAAAAAAAAAAAAAAAAAAGGTGAACTTTGTGGGGCAGGAGATTGCTCAGTGGTTAAGAAAGCACACCACTCTTGTGGTGAATGTAGTGAGTAAAAAGTATGTTTTCTGTTTGAATGCTGCTAGTTTTAAAGAAACTGTTATAAATCACTTCTTGAGTTGAAGAGGTGTTTTCTTGTCTTTTTATGTATGTATGCTGGAGTTTTAACAGCTGATATTTTCATTATTTCCTTTCCCACTTGCTTTTGCAGACCAGTGAGCTTTTCTACTTCCTAGTGAATAAACTTCATGAGTATTTGCCAGAGTCTAGGGATAAGACTACGCTTCAAAATAAAAGCCAAAGGGCCAACGAGCTGGTGTAAGTACTGACTATGCAATCAGATATTAGCCATCTAAGACAGAGGTTCTCAACCTATGGGTCGTGACTTCTTTGGAATTGCATATCAAATATGTTATGATTCACAACAGTATGTCACAACAGTCAAGTCACAGTTATGAAGTAACAATGAAATAAGTTTATGGTTGGGGGTCATCACAGCATGAGGAACTGCATTAAAGGGTTGCAGCATTGGGAAGGGTGAGAACCAGTGCTGTAAGGGGTTAAAAAACATAAATGAAAGATACTAGACAAAGCATATGCACTATTAATGGTTAGTGGTGCTGTACCTTTCACTGCATGTAGACTTTTACATTTTAAAAATTACTTCATTGTTAATTAATTTTTTGAAACAGGGTCTTGTAGTCTAGAATATCCTAGAACTTTCTATGTAGAATGTCTGGCCTCAAACCTGTTTCCTAAGTGTTAGGATCACAGATTATGCCACCATGACATGCTCTCACATGAATTTTTTAAAATAGCATTAAAAAAATTTAGTGCACATATAAGGAATTAGTAATGACTTCCCTCAAATGCGGAGATAGCTACCTCAGATACTGATGTATTTACTCATTAAACATGTAATTTGGGGCTGGGGATGTGGCTCAGTGACTGAGGGCACAAGGTGTCCTTGCAGAAGATCAAGTTCCATTCTCAACTCCCCTATCTGGTGGCTCACAACCCCCTGTAACTCCAGCTCCAAGGGGATCCGATGCTCCTGGCCTCTCCTCTGTGGGCACATATACTCACGTGCACAAACTTACATTCAGGTACACACATCCAAATATTTGAAAAGAAATCATTGGAAAAAATACACATTCAAAAATGCTTCCGCCCATGCCTTGACTGACCCGAAGCTCTTACTCAGTCAGCAGGCACATTTTGACTGCCCTATGTTTAGGTGTTTAGCAGCCCCAGTGCGGGTACTCAACCAGCACTGGTAACTTGATACACAGAATTCGATGGACTTTGGGCCAAGTGAGTATCTGAAAGCAGCTCTCTGAAGGTTGACGGCTTTTGTGGGTTTCCGACCCGAGGCACCATGTCATGTTCACGGCTTTTGCTTTGCTTTCTTTGCTCTTGTTTCCTAGGGCGTGTATTGAAATTATACAGACCCTGGGACTGATGTTCAGGGAAACAGAAATTGAATCATCACGATTGAGCACACTGGCAGCTAAGAAGTAAGGTTTACGTATGCGTTTGTTTTGTTGTTCTTGTTGTTGCTGTTTTGTGTTTTAGGGAGATGTTGGGACGATGTAGTCTCTGCCATTGCTTTAGTTGGAGGTGTGAACCAGGAAGACTGGGGTCTAAAATGAACTGGACTAATTCTTTAGTCTGCTTAGTCAAGCAATAGCCAACTTAAGTCAGAGCATCAGGCAGTCTAGACTCCGAGGGCCAAGAAGAGTCACCTGAGGAAAGTGTGCAATCGCAAGGACAAGCCACACATGGCAAAGTCATGTTCTTCTGTAGAGGCACATGGACAACAGCTGAAATAAACCCACTCCTATCCGCCACACCTGGGAGGGGCACGAAAGCACGGTCCAAGAACATCTGTGGTTTTGAAGAAACTGGGGTCACAAGGACTCTTGTTTTCTTGGAGTTTTCTCACAGGCACCCAGAATTCCCCTCGCACCACTCCATTCTTGACCCTTTGCCCTGTAAAGTCCTCTGTTCACCCCCTCATATGTGCGTGACACTCCTGTAGGTTACTTGGTGCCTGCTGGATTTTTTTGTGTCCCTCCGCATCATAAGGGCACACAGATTTTTCTCAGCATGATGCCTTCTGTTACAGTTCAATAGACTTGAAAAAGACTAAATGACCCATCATACAGCAAAAGCCTGGGAAACGGAGTCTCCATTGGAAATTATCCACAGCAGAAAATTATATTTGCTAAAGCAAGAGTTACTGTAGTCACATTTTTTTTGTAGTCACATTTTTATTCATAGTTATGGGCTGCTTAACCGTGGGGGATATGTCTGCTTATAGACATTTAGATGGTACAGCCTACTAGACACCTAGGCTATATGGCACATGTATATATATACACACATATAAGACATATGGAATGTATATGTATATGTTTGTACATATAATCATATCATACTGCTTGTTGTCCCTAAGGCCATCATAAATTAAACAAGTGACTCAACCAAGCAAAAGTTTTTCCATGCTGCTTTGTCCTCATGACTGAAGCAGAATGACCTTCATGGGAAGTAGAAGGGCATAAAGGACAAGAAAATGTTCTTCTAAAGCAAGGCCTGTAACACTCACGCTCACATTCTATTGGTTTCTGCCTTTCTCTATCCTAATTAAAAACAATGGCCTTGAATTGTTCCACCTTGGTTTGACCCTGTCAGCTTCATCAAACCTTCCTCTCAGATAAGACTAGTTCTTCTCCGCGCCTTCAGTATGTGTGTTCAGTAGCTACAGTAGAGTATGGTGATATTATTAATTTTTAGGAACTTTTGATATGCATAGGATTATCATGAGAACAAAGGTGTATGACATGAGAGTATTAAATCTGTTGCCATGTAACAAATTGCATGAGCTTAGCGAGTTAGACAGCATTCAGTTATTCTCTTACATCTCCATGGATCAGGACTCTGGGCAGGGTTAGCTGGGTCCTAGGCTCCTGAGTTCAGCATTCCCCTTGTGGAGTTGACTGGGTTCAGCTCCCTCCTAAGCTCATATGAGTGGTGGTTGAGAGGGCAGCTGTAGCTGGCATGCATGCCCTGTCTGTGATTTCTGAGAAGGCCCACTGTTGCAGTATTCGGCTGACTAGATCACTCCCACCCAGGATCATTTCCTCCAGACTAAGAAGCCAATTTATGGGGCTGGAAAGATGGCTCAGAGGTTAAGAGCACTGACTGCTCTTCCAGGGGGCCTGAGTTCATTCCCAGCAACCTCAAAGTGGCTCACAACCACCTGCAATTCAGTCTGGTACCCTCTTCTGGCCTGAAGGCAGAACACTGTATAAGTAATAAGTAAATCTTTAAAAAAGAAAAAGAAGTCAACTGATAACGGGCCTTAGTTTTATGTGAAGAGCCCTTCAAATTCACAACCTAATATAGCACAATCATTAGTGACAGCCACATATAGTCACAGGCCACACCCACACATAGGAGAGGGGATCATATGGGATCTGTATACTCCTGTGGGATAGGAGTGTTGGAGACCATATTAGAACACCATCTTTCACAATATCACAGAGTTTTTGACCTCTAACATCTGTACTCTAAAGTAGAGCATAATATATTTTAAATCCATGTATTATAAATAATAACAATCCGAGTAATAAAAACCATTCAATTGTTGGGGCCATTTTTAAGTCAATGGTGTCAATCCCCAAAGTCTCTATTTTCTGGATGAAGCTATAGCTTGACTAAAATTGTTGACCCAGTGAGTTTTAAATTAAGTTATTTGTTAGAAGGGGTAGATTTCAAATGAAATTCCATTTGAGGAAATAAAGAAGCGGTATTCACTTAGCATTTCCCAAAGTGGAAACTTTGTTAGTTCAACCCACCTTGCTGCATTCCTGAATGTGCTGTGTTCTTTTGTGTTTCGGCATTGTTGTGGTTGAATTCATATATTATCACAGTAAGTGACCTAGAACTTTAGAGTACTTTCTCCTAGATTTGAAAAGAAACTGTTTCTGAAAATAAGGGACTGCAATTAAATAGAACAGAGAACGGAAGGTCAGTTCAAACTTCATATCTGGAAAAAGCTTCCAAAGGAGTGTTCTGGGGGTTGAGGAGATGGTTTAGTGGATAAGAGTGTTTGCTGGGAAAGTATGGGAACCTGAGTTCAAATCCCCAGAATGGACATAAAAGGTCTGGAAGGCAGGGCAGGGCGGGGCGGGGCGGGGCAGAGACGGGAAGATTGCTGTGGCCTGCTGACACTCAGCCTAGTTCCGTGTTCAGTGAGAGACCATGTTTGAATGGAGTAAGAGGGACAGTGATAGACTGAAATAACCCTCTCCCTGCTTCGCCTGCCACATGCAAGAACACAGGAGCACACCCAAACATGTGTATGCATGTACAGTGCACAAACACAAACTCACAAAAGAGCATTAGAAATAACAAAGGAATGGTCTTTTGGTTGGGTAGGTCTTCTAAAAGTGAGCTTGACTGTTTTATTATTTCATTACTTGAGAACAGTTCTATGCACCTGTGCTGGGCTGGACACTGTGCAGCTGAGGACAGTTGTGAGCTGACCCTCCTGCCTCTACCCCACAGTGCCCAGACTGTAGGCACCTGCCTTTATGCCCACTTTATTCAGTGCTGATGGTCACACCCAGGGCTGTACATGCTAAGAAAGCACTCCGTCAACTGAGTTACACTCCCTGCTGCAAGACCGAACATTTTAAATCGCGCAAATAAAACACTAGATATTGTGAATGATCTACACAATTGTGTGTGTGTTTAGCAATGTATCGCATATCAAGAATTGGATTGGCTTTTTGAATTGGAAAACAGGAGAACTGTATATTTCTTAGGATTTGGTTGACCATGGGCTTTTGAGCATGGTAATGACTTAAATGAAAGCCTAGGAAGTTTACAGGATTCTTTGTTTCTCAATGAAGAGTGAATTCATGCTGGGTGGTGGTGGCCATGGAGGTGGTGGGGCATGCCTTTAATCCTAGTACAGGGAAGCAGAGGCAGGCAGATCCCTGTGAGTTCGAGGCCAGCCTGTGTCGCGTCCGCTGCGCGGCCTGTGTCTGAGAACGTGCGGAGGGTGTCGGGGATTGACAACACAGAGACTCGTTCAACGATGTAAAGAAAACTTTAAGCAGGCCCCAAAAAGGTTCAAGAAAACTTCCTAAGAAAGGCTTCCACCAGAGAAGCTTCTGCTCTCCCCTCTACCCTGGCTGGTTCTGCTCTCCCCAGAAACTGCTCTGGGCGTGGCAGAAGAGGCGGTTAGTCTCTGGACAAGGTCGAGCTCAGGGTGGTTTCTGCGGGCAGGCCTTTTCCAGGAACTTAATGCCCCCAGGCATTGTATTGTTTTTAGTAAACATTGTTTTTAGTAAACATTGTCTTACAGCTGCCTACTCCCAGGCAGAAGGGGAAGTGGGTCTCTGCTCAAGGTCTGGTGTTCCCACAATTCACCCCTTTTTATTTTTAAATGAGGCACTCCTGGCTTAGGTCAAGTAGGGTCACCCTCCCTTTCCCGTCCTTGGGGGACCTTGAACCCCTGTCTTAGGCGGGAGGGGTCTTCCCCACAAGTTGCCCGTCATCAGAGCACCCCAACTTTAAATCATCTGTAACCAACCTTCATGGCTATCGGGATTGCCATGGGCTAGGCTAAGCAATACTTGGTTACGGATCTCTTGCCTCTGGAACAAGGCACGTTTGAGCCCGGCATAAAGCCAGAATGCCTACCGCCACTGCCACCATTTCCAGGACCCCCATTGACATAGCGCCTCTCCATCACCGTACCCATCACCAGATCTGGGCCATAACATTCTACCAGCCTTCGTCTGTTACAAGGGTAACCCACACGTGATTTACATTTTGTTACAAGGGTAACCCGCATGTGATTTACATTTACAATTTGATAAAGTTACAATTGTTCCAAGATCTGCTCAGGAAAGCATTTAGAAAGTGCACTTGCACAGATACATTAGGTACAATCATTGATGTTACACATGTAGTATTATGAAAAATATGAACAATAGGCTTGTTGCACTATCTACAGAGCACCAATTTGTTCCTGTGGTGATGCAGTTTGTTGATTTAACGTCAGCTGATTATGCGACTTGAGTCAAAGTCTCCTTTTTGTCACATTAGGACAAGTTGCATCTCTCTAGAAAAATACACTGGCCTAGTCGTGATTCCAGAAACAGGAACCATCAAGTCTGATATTTCAAGTGACCATGTCCTGTTCAATTACTTAAAAGAGGCTTTTGCCCCTCATCACAGTCCATACCAATGTCCAAGTGTTTTAAATGGGTCCTTTTTTCTCTATTGGCTTCACTATGAAAACTCATGGGTCCGGAAGGTTGATGCAGCAGGTCTGTTGAGAAACTGGAAATCTCGAACCGACTGTTTTCTTTCTTTCTTGGGCTCTAGATTCGATGACAGCAAGGTTCAGGAACACTGATTTAGGAGATCTCACTCAAACTGGCTTAGGTAGGCTCCCATGGTCTCAGGTCCAGTTTTTCTCTGCTCCATGCCGAAGCTTTTATTCTTTTCCTACAAGAAAACACAAACATGCCCTCGACCCCAAATTAGGGTCTTCTCCACTGTTTAGTGCATGGATGTCTCCATTTGACCTGAGCAATAGTTGCTCAAGTTCCATCATGCCAGAATCTGTCTGAAGCTCACTGGCATTCACATTATAAAATTTTTAAATGAGGAGTGTATTATTTGATGAGTCATATGGGGACTGGGGACATTATTCCCCCTTTTTTATTTTTAAAAAAAAATATTTTTTTTGAACTGTTGAAGCTGGACCATAATAGTAGAAGGATTTGTCTACCCTCCTTGGTTGACTATCTAGGTAAATTTAGATTATTACTTAGATTATTTGTAGATGCCCATTAAAAAGGACATATCCATTAAATATTTCCCAAAAACTTCTGAAAATCACTCAAAGTTTGTAAACTATAATGTGTCCAAATAACTTGTGAAAATTATTTGAAGTCTGTGAGCAGTCTTTCCCAATCTAACCTGTAGAGCTCTCACTAGCTGACAAGGCCTCATTTGCATCTTAAATTTTTCTGTAAAAACATTAACAGACTGGCTGGATGTTCCTTTTGTCTATATTTAAAGCAATCTAGGTAGCTTCTTAACTATTTTTGAAGGGATTTAAGTATCCTTTTAATCATATAAGCAGTTCACACTCATGCATTCACAATCACATTTCATACATACCGGTGTGGCCACACCATATATTCAGAACATACATGTATCTTTCAGTCATCCTTTTTCCCTAGGTCATGATTAGTCTGTTGCAATGAAGCTTCCTTAATTGAAATCTATGTAAAAGAACAACTCCAGCCAATCCTTGAACTAAGAGGTTAAAAAGTCCTATATGTTCTTTATCATTCCTCCATTTGAGCTACAGTCATGGGGTACAGCCGTACCTACTCCTTGTAACTGTAGATGCAAGGTGGAAAGGCCAAGCTTTTGGCCAAAAGTTTTTAGAAATGACTCACAAAATAGAATTTAAATGTAAACAACAATTTTTCATTCCATATACCTTTGTCTTTTTCTTTTTCTTTACTTAATACCAGTACCTCTTTACTGTTACAAATTTTTTTTTTCCCATTTTTTTTTTAAGTCAGGGTTTCTCTGTATTGTTTGAGGCTGTCAGTCCAGCCTGGCCTCGAACTCACAGAGATACGCCTGCCTCTGCCTCCCAAGTGCTGGGATTAAAGGCGTATGCCACCAACACCTGGCTCTCTGAATATCATAGCAAACATTCTCCCAATCTGGGACATTTAAGCCTTCCCCAGTAATGAACCATGGGCTCCCTCGTTCAATCCATTTTAAAAAGCCTGCCATGGTTGTAGTGCCCTGTTCTTTAAGCAACTTTTTTACGTGATACTGTAATTTAAACTTCCAGGCACTATTTTCCATTGTTTCTTTTCCTATTTTCCTCTATCTGTCCCTAGCTGGCAAAAGGGTCGACCCCGTCCACTTACCTCGCTTTCACGATCTCGGTAGGACCTCCAATTGTCGCGTCCGCTGCTCAGCCTGTGTCTGAGAACGTGCGGAGGGTGTCGGGGATTGACAACACAGAGACTCGTTCAACGATGTAAAGAAAACTTTAAGCAGGCCCCAAAAAGGTTCAAGAAAACTTCCTAAGAAAGGCTTCCACCAGAGAAGCTTCTGCTCTCCCCTCTACCCTGGCTGGTTCTGCTCTCCCCAGAAACTGCTCTGGGCGTGGCAGAAGAGGCGGTTAGTCTCTGGACAAGGTCGAGCTCAGGGTGGTTTCTGCGGGCAGGCCTTTTCCAGGAACTTAATGCCCCTAGGCATTGTATTGTTTTTAGTAAACATTGTTTTTAGTAAACATTGTCTTACAGCTGCCTACTCCCAGGCAGAAGGGGAAGTGGGTCTCTGCTCAAGGTCTGGTGTTCCCACAAGCCTGGTCTACTGAGTGAGGCCCAGGACAGCCAGAGCTGTACAGAGAAACCCTGTCTCAAAAAATTAAAAGGAAAAAACGGAGTGTCTGTAAGTTTGACTCCACTACTTTCCCTTTACAGGCTTTATCCATTAATGGCTTTTCATTCATTTTTTTAGGGGAACGCTATTTACTCTCTTAGTAATCTTAATCAGCAAGCCTGAGGTTCCTAAGTCTTGCTCCCTGTCTAACGCCCAGCCACCATCTGATTCAACTTCAGCCGAAATGTCTTTTGATGCTCAGGTAAGAGGAAAACTTGGGGGTCTACTGAATGTAACCCTGGGGGCTCTTGTTTCTTATGTTTTAACATGGAGAGTACAGAAATATGTATACATTAAAGAGGCTATGTTTTGCTATTAACCTAACATGTAAGCTATTTGGCCAATATTAATGTATCTCTTTTATGTTTTCAGGTATATAAACTAAGGAAAATAATACTGTTTAAAAATGATATTCATTTGCCCAAATGTCTCTATAATATTTAAATACATGTAATTCCATAGTAGAGGTTTGATAAAAACCAACCAAACAAACAAAAAAGCCCCCAAAAGAATGTCTTAAAAACAAAACAAAATAAAACAAAAAAGAATGTCTTCCAAATTTCCAGGTTAACTTGGACTGTATTTTATCCTAATAAGTGGTTAGTGTTCACTTCGTAAGAGTCACTTCTTTTTCTAATGTTTTAGTAAATCATTAGAAATATCAAACTATATCGAAGGTGTATTTCCCAAGAGAACATACCAACTTGTAATAAAATTATTTTGAGCCAAGTCAACATTGATTTTTTTTTAAAGGATAGGACATGGTTTTGCAGCCCTTAAGCGTACAACTGGGGCTGTGTTTTAGAAGGTGCATCCGTATGTATTCACTGGTTATCTATTATGAGAAAACAGTGCTAGGCAGAGATCCAAAGCGGACACAATTTCTGCAGTCACAAAATCAACACGATTTACCGTCAAGCTAGTTCATGAACGGGGTGGGGGGGGCAGGTGTCAATGAGACATGGCTGTATGCGGAGCACCTGAGGCACACCTTGAGACGGTGGAGTGAATGAACAGAGACTGGGGAGTCGGTGAGAACCAAAGACGCAGACAGGTAGAGCTGTTAAGCTACCATATACATGTATGGTACCATGTAAATATGCAGTGGCTTCTTACATACATACTATACATACATGGTGTGGTAACACATGCCTGGAAGTCCAGCACTTAGGAGGTGAAGGCAGGAGAACTGAGAGCCACAGATGGGCCTTGCACTATATAGTGAGACCTTTTTGAAGAAGGGGGGGGAGGAGGAGGAAGAGGAGGTGGAGCAGGAGGAGGAGGAGAGGGGAAGAGTGTAGCTTAGCTGAGGGATGGAGTAGAGAGAGAGAGCTCAGCAGTTAAGAGCATTTGCTACTTTTGGAGAGGGGTCAAGTTCAGTTCCAAGTACCCACATGGTAGATCACAGCTATATGTAACTTTAGCTCTAGAAGTCCGATGCTCTCTTCTGGCCTCCATGAGCACCAGGCCCACATGTGGTACACATATATACATGCAGGCAAAATACACACACACACACACACACACACACACACACACACACACACACACACACACACACACACTTGGCTTTTTGAAACGGTCTCTCTGTGTAGCCCTGACTGTCCTGGAACTCGTTCCGTAGTCCAGGCTGGTCTTGATCTCACAGAGATCTGCCTGCCTCTGCCTTCCAAGTGCTGGGATTAAAGGTGTGCATTACCACTGCCCAGCTAAAATAAATTTATCTTAAAAACAAAAGAAGAGGGATGTTTTCCCTGGCTCCCAAAAGAGACTCGTCCTCTTCTGAGCTGTCTGAACTTTCTATGTTTTTCTTTTGAACCCCGTTTATGTCTACGTATATGCTTACTCAATTGCTAGTTTGGTGCCTGATCTTAATTAAGTAGGCTGTGTATTTCCCAAGGGTAGGCAGGGAGTTGCCAATGTCTAACACGGTGTCTGATGCATACTTGTTGAATAAATACACAAAGAGGAAGAGAGATGCTCAGTCATGAAGAGGGTAGATTCCGGAATATTTTAGGGATTTGAGCTGACACTTGACATGAAAATAAAGTGTGGAGACTAGGAGACAACTTTTAGAATGTGGCCCAAAAGCCAGAAGACAGCCACAGCTAGAAGATTGGTTTCAAGGGGGCAGCACTGAGCTAGGTTTGGGGTTCGTTAGTCTGGATATAACAGTATTTCCCCATGCAACATTTAGTAGGCAAATGGATGGTGTAAGTTTCATGCCTTCAGGACCTTCAGATCTTCTACACTGGGCAATCCGTGTGACCATCAGGAGACAACACAGCTTTTGGTCACCTGGTATAAAAGGAAGGGGGACACTAAACTAGAGTCCATCCTGCACACAGTATGAGGGCAGGGTCTAGGCCTGGAGCATGTCCATAGGTAGTTCTTGTGCCTAGAGTGGCTTATGTGCCCTCTCAACTGCCTGGGGATCTTGTGGGCAGAGGTCTCTGATCCCCATGTTTACCCATTCCACAGGAGTAGAAGTTCAAGCTGGGCACAAGCCTCTAAATCCCTCAGAGATTCTTCTGCCTCACTCCTAAGGAACATGTTTACATATTCCTGAAAGGAAGTAGGTGTATAATGTGGACCCCAGTGTGCAGACGGTTTTGTCTGGGCCATCTTGTCTTTCCCTAATCCCCATGTGGGTCACTGTTAAACGTGTTGTCTCTTTACAAGAATAGCTTGTTTTTGGTGGGACTGAGGACTGACACGTGTGAAGAAAGCACTCTGCCACTAAGCTACATTCCCCAGCTCTTCCATTTTGAGACAGGTTCTCTCTAAGTTGACCAAGCAGGCCTTGAACTTGTGGTCTCCATGCCTCCGGCTCTTTAGTGTCTGGAATAACAGGCCTGAGTCAGCCAGCCTAGACTGAAAGCCACCTTTCTGGGAATGACCGAACCAAGTGGGATGGAAAGTGGACATTGCAAATACAAATTTAAATCACAAATCCTTTTTTAAGGCAGTCCACTGATGATTATTGAAAATTCTAGTTACAGAAGCTCCTCCTGGAGTATACGGATAAGGCCACAGCCCTGCTCTATGAGATTCTTCTTGTCTTTCAGCAGGTACAGTACATATTATAATTCTAATTTGATTATGTTATGGTTAACTGTGGGGGGGGCATGGTCTCTAACACTGGCTGGGTCCAGTGATACCACGTTCACTCATCAAGGCTATTACAGGTAATTTTATAGAAGCTGACTTTAAAGATTTGATTGGTTAGGATAAATATATTTGGAGTGAGAATTCTTTTAGTTATGACTCAGACATAACGAATATGACTTGTTTCCTTGAGTCTCTAGGGAAATCTTGGATTGGGATCCACAAAGTTTGCTATTAGCTGGATGATGTCATCCCTACAGAGCTGTCCTCCCACGGTGAGTATGGAACAGAAAAGGGCCCGGCTTACTGGACGCTTCAGTGATAAAACATGGACATTGTCTTATGATTTACCCAAGTGTACAGAGCACAATATAAACTTGATGATTTTATCATTTAATGAAAAGAAAACTTTTATATTTGAGACCTGAATTAAAAGCATTAAAATATGGTTTAAGACTAGCTTTATTATATTAAAAAAAGAACTTTGAAGGCATATGTAGCAAGCAAAATGTTAAGTTATTGACTTATAATTGAGTAAAAAGGTTGACCTTTGCCTAAGTAGAAGCATGAACTTTAGATTGGCTGTGTGCTCTGCCCCTGCTGCCCCCACCCTTGTCCAACTCTGATCTCTTGGAAGATTCCATTCGTGTCCAAATGGCCCAGGTCTGTCATTCTACTAGATCTCAGCCAGAGGGAGCTATTTAAAACAAAAATGTGATTGCTGTACCTTGCTATCAGCTGGATGGGCTCTCAGCAGCTTTTCTTTGCCAGCCTCCTTCCCAGGCCTGCAGGGTGGGGCATCTTAGAGCTTTGCAGCCACATCTGGTCCCTCCTTCATCCTGCCATGTGCATCTCTCAACTCAGTGGCCAGCCCTCCTTCCCCACTGACTCCATTGCACAATCCTTTCCTCTGTGTTGGTCTTAGTCTGATATAACAGAGTGGGTTGTTAGTACAGGGTGGAGGTTCATTGGTTATGTTATAACAGAGTGGGTCGTTAGTACAGGGTGGAGGTTCATTGGTTAGTTATAACAGAGTGGGTCGTTAGTACAGGGTGGAGGTTCATTGGTTAGTTATAACAGAGTGGGTCGTTAGTACAGGGTGGAGGTTCATTGGTTATGTTATAACAGAGTGGGTCGTTAGTACAGGGTGGAGGTTCATTGGTTATGTTATAACAGAGTGGGTTGTTAGTACAGGGTGGAGGTTCATTGGTTATGTTATAACAGAGTGGGTCGTTAGTACAGGGTGGAGGTTCATTGGTTATGTTATAACAGAGTGGGTCGTTAGTACAGGGTGGAGGTTCATTGGTTATGTTATAACAGAGTGGGTCGTTAATAAAGGGTGGAGGTTCATTGGTTATGTTATAACAGAGTGGGTTGTTAATAAAGGGTGGAGGTTCATTGGTTATGTTATAACAGAGTGGGTCGTTAGTACAGGGTGGAGGTTCATTGGTTATGTTATAACAGAGTGGGTTGTTAATAAAGGGTGGAGGTTCATTGGTTATGTTATAACAGAGTGGGTCATTAATAAAGGGTGGAGGTTCATTTGGCTCATGGTTTTGGACACTGGTTGGTTCAAGACGGAAGAACTATATCTTAAGAGGATCTTGCTGTGTCTCTCCATGTCTGAAGGCTAAGGGACAGGAGACCACATGCGAGTTGTGAGATTAAAGTCATTTTGCTATTTTTGAGAAGGTGTCTGTGTTGCTGAGACTGGCCTCTAACACACAGCAATCCTCCTGCCTCCGTCTGGCTGGTTTTTGGCGTAGCGGAACTCACTTTTATAACAACCTCGGTCTTGAAATCACAGGTTCTCTCACTGGATATCCACGCACATAAAGTACATGATTCCGTTCTCAAGGACAAGAGCCCGCGATTTAATAATCTCTTATAAATCCTCACCTGCTAACAGCTTCACCTTGTGGATTGGTTTCCTAACACGTGAAGACATGAGCAGTCTGGGTCTGAAATACTCTCCGCCCCTCTCCCACCTAGTTAAGCCCCACTCTTCTGTGAGTCCTCAGTGCCGACTCCTGGAGCGGAAGGTAGAAGATGGTTCCCTGACCTTTGAGCTCACACTCACACAAGTCGACACTGTAGCCTGTCTGTCCCCTCCCCTTGAGCTTGTCACCATTGCAGTTTGCATTGGCTTCTGTTGTGTGGTTCTGTCCTGTGGTAGCTGTCAGTGCCCTGTGTTGCCCAGCAGAGTTTCCTCTAGGCATATGGTAGGAGTGGGCTTGTCTCTTCACTTGATTACTTTGGCCTGAGTCACTTCTGGGTAGAGGTTGTATAGCATGCTTCCCTCACTTCCTTTCTGGAGTGCTATACCTATTGTGTTTCACACGGTGACTGCTCTGCCCACTGTTGCTCCCTAGTGATGGTGAACAGAGCTGCCTACTGACTTGTGAGGGCTGTATGGTGTGAACAAACGGCAGAGCTTTCCCATTCCATACTGAGCACTGGTAGTTTGAGGTTTGCTCTAGATCTAGCCCATCATGACTGAGACAATGGCTTTCTCCGTGGGACGTGAGGACAGCGATATGTCTAGTGTGCTAGAACTTTCCCTCTACTCTCTCATGCATTCCGTTAATCAACACATGCTTCACTAGAAATCTCTCCCTCCACTCACTAATGCATCCAGTTAACACACTATCAACACACTAGAAATCGCTTTAACAGGTAGTGCTTGGGGATGGTGAAATTGCTCAGTGGGTAGAGGTGAATGTTGACTGAGTTTGTTCCCTGAACCCAATATGGTGGGAGAAGAAAACTTCTATAAGTTGTCTTCTTAATTTAACAGGTGGGTAGTGACATGCACATGCCCCCCCTCCCCCAGGTGAGTGCTGGCCTGCGTACCCGCGTGCACACACACACACACACACACACACACACACACACACACACACAGGTGAGGTAGCGAGCGGGGCACTTGTTGTGAGATAATGTGTTCTCTTTCCATATGCGAACGGATGCCTTGTTGACCCACTCCCAGCTGTGACCTGTCTTCCAGAGTGATGATGTTGAGTGTGTCCTGAAGAAATTGTCTTCTCTTGTCAGATCCATATGACACATTAATGCAAAGCTGGCCAGAGCCACAGTGCGCCTGTATCAATAGGATAGCCGCCTGCCCCAAAGAGATTAAGACCGCGATGTTGGATCCTTCAGCAGTGCCCAGTGCTCAGCCAATTTCAGATTCACTCCAGGAGCATCATAAGTTTTTCCTGTTCATATTTGTATGTGCAATATGAAAGACCCCTGCTTATCTTATGCAGTGATGGATCTGGCTGAGGTCCTAAGGATCTCAAACTATGGGGAAGTTCCTCAATCAGTCTTCAAAGGAACTGGGTCAATTAAGAGGCCAGTCTGGGACCAGGAAGCCGGTCAGGGTGAGGCTGCCCCAGGCAAGGGCACACAAGCATCAGCGAGGGCATCAGCCTAGACTTGTCAATGAAGTTCACGGCTGAAATAGGGTGCGTGTGGGTGGCACCCTGCCCATGAGTAACCGCATTCTCCTCCTCTAGATGGCTTTTGTGGCCAGTATTGTGAAGCGGGTGGTGGACGGACTTTCAGCCTCGCTCCAGCTGCTGACTCCCTGCCAAGCGGTTCTGCTGTACCAGCGGCTTTATATCCTCAAGAGCTGCCTGCAGTACAGCAGGGCTCTCGCCGAGCATATTAGGAACGACCACAGCGAAGAGTTCAGGTAAGGAAGAAACGGTGCGTCCAACCAAAAAGCTCACTGCTCGCTTTCTTGGCCGCTTACAACAGGACCAGATATTTAGGGTAAACGGTGACGCAAAAATTCCACTTTTGTTTTTATTTGACCACAGGTAAGGTGAAATTTGGGACAGTTCTAAGAACCACTGATTGCCACGTGAGGAGTGTCCCCAGCCCAGAAACTACTTGTCGCTCATTGCCTTGCTTGTGTGAAGTCTATATTGCACCAAAGTGTACTGATTTGTTTTAGGGGTAACAAACTCTAGTGAGGGGGATGATAAGTTATGTCAGCTGCTGCATGCATGTTGGGGGTGACCAATGAGTAGAGGGGGACAGTAACCAAACGCATTGGGGAGTCTGTTGTTGATTTGTTTCATTGACTTTCTCACCCCCAGTAACAGAACAGTAAGCCGCAGTAGCCAGCATTGGTTCTGTCCACCCGGCAGCCTGTTCTGTTGCCCCTCAGGGGTTACACCTCTACTTCAAGACTAGTACAACCAAGTGCACACTCAGCACTGCACCCTGAGCCAACACGTAGTCAAGAAAAACTGATGTCGCTTTTGCCATAAACAAGAAGGGGACAGCCAGCATGGCTTCCCCCTTGGTCCGGAGGGAGACATCAAAAGATTTGGAGGGATACATTATGGCTTTATATTGGCTTCAAAAGGGATAAAGTCAGCCCTCTGTGTAGACTCTGTGTTTCCTGCATGTGGCCTTATACTAGAAGGTCCATTCTGGATACCATAAAAGGATTTATTTGGTTCCAAGTTGATCCCACAAATCAGACCCAGCACCCTCCCTGTCCTGCTTTCTAACTTCCTTTTCCTTCTCATTAGGAAAAATTGACATAGCGTGAAATTTACCCCTCTGAAGCATATAATTTGGTAGCTTTGAATACATTTCACAATATTTTCGTAACCATCACTGTTGAACTGCAGAACATTGTCATTATCTGAAGGAAACCCAGTACCCGTTAAGCAGACACATCCCATTCCCCCCTCTCAGCGGCTGGCAACCACTTACCTACACTGTCTTCTGGACAACCATCCTACAAGTGGCCTTTTGTCTCAGGTCTTTCATTTATCATATTTCCAACGTTTTCCCATGTTTGTAGCATGTATTGTATGAAAACTCCCTGCCTCAACCTGTTTTTCCATTTTGAGACAAGGTCTTACAGCATAGCCCAGGCTAGTCTGGAACTCTCTGTGTAGCTTATGTTGGCTTTGAACTCATTGCAGCCTCTTGCTCTAGCCTGAGTGATGTAACTATAGGCACACACCATTATGCCTAGCCTAATTATAAAAGACCTAGTTATAAACCTAAAAAACCATCAGGCAGCTGGCAAAAAAAAAAAAAGGTGTCATTCTCCCAGATAGCAGTAGCTGGCTGGAGTTCCTAGCAGGGCCCTGTCAGGAAGACTGGGTGCCCTTTGTACCATCTCCCCCCCTGCTTACCCTTCCCACCTCTCTGGCTTACCTCTCTTGTGGACATTCAGGCTTGCAGTTTTGTTTTAGTCTGATGGTTTGCCATTCACTTTGCACTACAATCACCTGTTCAGTTATTGACAACGCTGACCCTGCTGTGGTCCTTCTGTTTCGATTCTCCTGGGAGTATGGTCTGGGTACCGACAGTTTTTCAAAGCTGCCCCAAGCGATTCTGTTAATCACTCGGGGTTGAGGAGCATTTGATGCTACCCAAGGGTCTGACTGCAGGCTGTTTACATCCTCATGTAAAAGCCTCTATATAGCCGGGCGTTGGTGGTGCACGCCTTTAATCCCAGCACTCGGGAGGCAGAGGCAGGTGAATCCCTGTGAGTTCCAGACCAGCCTGGTCTACCGAGCGAGTTCCAGGACAGCCTCCAAAACAATACAGAGAAACCTGGCCTAGAAAAAAAAAAGCCTCTATATAGAGGACTCAGGAGGTAAATCTCACTCTTTCCTCTTGACTGGTCTTCATGGGTTATCTCAGCTTGATGCCCTGCCTACTCCTTTCTGTGTATTGTCAGAGGAACCCAACATCAGAAGCCTCACACATACTTTGGTGAAGACAGTCCTGTCCTGTCTTGTCTTCCTGGTTACTGCCTACGTGGTGGATCCATTGTTAATTAGTTTCTCAAGCAAGGTACCTATGCTCACTGAAATGCACATATAGCAAAGATTTTCTAGTTCCTGAGTAGGTGGAGTCTGGAATCTGCAGATGCTGAGTCTCATTGTTAAGACTCCCTTGACCTCCACCCTCAACAGTGAGTATGAACACACCGGATGAGCCAATGTGAAAATTCTCATTTTTAAAGGTGTTTTGTTTCTCTGTGATTTGCAGGTACTTCATTCGAATGCCAGCCTTGGAGAGGAGGCTCCCTGTATGGTACCCTATTACGGAGCCCACCACTCAACTCTGTCATGAAGTTCTACAATTAATTGAACAGAAACAATATGCAAAATGTTAGAGGAGATAAAATATAAAATGTCCATTTAAGTCAGTAATTATGAGAAACTGCCTTCCCATGTATTTAATATCCAGCTTTCCCCAGGTCTTGTAAAGCTTTTAGTTAAACATTCATTGACACCTCTTTAGGAGGTCTTACTTTGTAAGTAACCATGACTAGGCTGAGAGCATGCAGCTCCGTGGTAGCGTCCTCGCCTGGCATCTGTGAAGTCCTGGGTTCAGTGCCAGCACTGGAAGAAACGAAACAAGAAACTTAGCACCACAAACACAAACACCGTCTAAGTCTATATAAAGTGGTGTACTGCTCCAGACCGAAACTTTTCTTCCAGATGTGGAGCTCAGCAGAAGCACAGAGTGGCTGAGTGTGCACAGTAGATCCGGCGGGTTCTGTTGGTGCAATGTGGACGATTGGTAGAAACCACTGGAACACCCACAGCAAGATGGTTGTAGGAAGTACAAGCCACACAGTGAGCTTGAGAGAAGTGCCCAGCAATGGCAAGGCACCTTCTCCTCCGCCTGTAAATGTCCCTGTGACAAAAGTATTGGATAGCAATGGGCAGGGAGCAGTCACAGGTGCACAGCCATAGAAGGGAAAGCAGGCCAGACTTCCTATGGCAGAGCACCTGCTTCCTGCCAGGGGTGGGGGTGGAGGGTGAGGGGGCAGTCTGAGCCATCTTTTAGAGCCCTGTGGAAGAGAGGCTACTCCTGAACTTTACAGCTCTCACAACCACTTACAAAAGACCTCCACAACACTGTGTGGCCATACATGAACTGATTCCCAAAAGACTCGCTGTGAGCTGTTCGGTTTGGACGTCTAAGAACAGCAGAGCCGGGCTTTCTGTTCAGCATGAGACGGTTTGAGTATGGAGCTCAGGAACACCCACTTCCAAGAAAGTGCTCCCTGGCCGACTCTGCCAGTGGTGGGCAGCGGAACCACAGCTGGGGACTTTGTTGAGGAGACACAGGTTCTCGCCATTAATTTGTCCAGCAATATCTGAATCAGTTATTTTATGGTGACTGTTTTTTTCTATTACTACATTCTTATGACTTTTGATTGATCATCTAAGACATTTTTGTTTTTAGATTTAATACTTACACCAGCTTTGTAAATACTCTGTGTAAACACAGGCCTATTCTAGATGCTGCTGTAACTCAGATGGTAAGGCGCTTGCCTAGGGTGTGGGAGGCCCTGGGTTCAGTGCCTGGCACCACCAGACAAAAAAATTAAAATTGGCTTCTAAATATGAGACTTTGTGTTAAAAATGTACATAGGAGTCACTTTTCGCTTCTCAAGTTGCTCCGCTGAGAGGCTGTAGGTGGGTAAGGAGGAACCTTCTTATTTGTTCCTTCCCTCAGCTGCAGCAAGCCTGTGTGCACCTGCTCTCGGCATGGCAGCCTCCTCCTGGCTTTGCTCGGCTCCCCACAGGCCGCCCTTGCAGCTCCAGTAATGACTTAATGTGCCAGCATCCCAGGCTCCCACCGCTTGCAAGTTCTTATGTGCCTGTTTTATTGTCAGCACAATATTTAATACATAGAGGCAGAACTATTGTCAGACTTTCCAGACACATAAATGCAATGCCGAGTTTTCAACCCAGTATACTGTTAGGTTCAAAATATTGTTTTGACACATTGGTTAAAATATTTTTGTTTGCAGATTATTTATAATAAATTGTTAGTCTTGTTTGTTTGTATGAGAACTTTGATTTTTTTATTTTGACTTTTTAAAAAGTCTTAGGTATTGTGCTTTTGCAAAAAAAAAAACAACCCCGTAAGAAATAAAACCTTCATTCAACAATCTCATTTCTGGTTCTGACTCATATAAATAGCTATTTGACTTGAAGCCAGTAGGTTCTCTTTCTAGGCCTAGCTGTTTCTTTCTGTTCCTTTATTGTATAGCAGGATGAGGCTGAGTGGTCTCTAACTTCTCACTGGTGTTCTCTGCCTGTAAACAACATTTTGTTACTTGTTGGTTTGTTGAAACAGGGTCTCATATAGCTCAGCAGGCCTTGCGCATTCAACGATGGCCAAGGATGACTTTGAACTCCTGACCCTCCTGCCTTCATCTCCCAAGTGCTGGTATTGCAAGTACAAACCACCACACCTGGCTTTGTACGTAACACTTGGTTGTCTTTTTATGTGTGGGTTTGTAGAGGCCAGAAGAGGGTAGCATTGGATCCCTTGGAGCTGGAGTCACAGGGAGTTGTGAGCTGCCTGATGTGGGTGCTGGAAGCTGAACTCTGGTTCTCTGGAAGAACAGCAAGTCTTTTTAACCACCGAGCCATCCCTCCTGCTCATCCCTGTATATGAGAAATGGTGTAGTGTGTTCCTTTGCTATGTTGGCTCAGTCGATTCCAAATAATCCTGCATTTTTGTGTCATCAACATCACCACAGTCTCCAAGCCATTCTTTATCACCCACAAGAGGTCTGTAAGTCTTTTGTTCCTCCCTAGCTGATATAGAGAGAAGCAGTGAGTGTCCTGGCCTGTCAGATGAAGAATTAAGTATTCCTAAGAGTGAGTCAGAAGAGACTGTGGGACACCGACAGCACCACTTCAAACTAGGCTATCCTTTAGGGGATGGTCAAGAGCACAGTTTAGGCCACAGCAGACGCTGGGAAGTCGGCTCTGCTCCGTCCTGTCCTCTAGCCTGTGTCCTGGCTCTGAACTGGTAGTGAAGGTCCCGGCCTGGGTCTCTCGGGACCCCCCCATTCCCTTTCCTCATGTACTAAAGTCATACTTAGCAAATTTGTGGGAGCAAAAGCTCAGCGTGGTAGAATGTACCATCGTTGTGGTCATTGCCGTCTTTTAAAAGCTAAGACCATGTATTTTCCCATGTATGACTCCTGTCTCTTCACTTGCCACCTGTGGTGATATCTTGTTTGTACAAATAAAGCCTGTCTGAGGGTCAAAGAATGGAGCTTGCCACTAGCTAACCATAGAGGTCTGGAGGTCTGTACAGATAGACAGGAAGTGAGATGGCTGGGCAGAAACAGGAAGTGAGATAGCTGGGCAGAAACAGGATATAAACAGGGAGAAACTGGAACTCACGCTCTTGTCTGCTGAAACAATTAAGGAGGTAAGGTGTGTCTGTGGCTTTCTCCTCTCTGCTCTCTCAGCATTTTCCTCTGCATTTGACTCCGGGTTTTTATTACTTAGACCAATTTAGAACTCCATTTATGGTCGCCTGTGGAATTAGGAACTGGAAGTTTATATCAGAAAGGATTTCTTTCTGTTACTCTTTTATGCTATGTGTATTTTATTTGTGTGGTTCTTGAAGGCAAGAAAATTATTACATAATCTCTCTCTGTTAGTGAGCACAGTTGACACTGTTAACTACATTGTTCTTAGATACAAAATAATTGCTTTTCAGGTGTTGTAACTGTAGAAAAAGCTTGACCCTGAAAATCATCTAAATAGATTCCTCTCTCCTAGCCCCTATCATACCCTCGGAACTCAGCCTCGGGGTGAGGACTCAGATCTCCTGGTTCATTCTTGTCACCCTCCTCAGCCATTCTCCTGGCCAATTCCATTCCTTTGTGACTCCCACTCACTTCAAAGGTTGGGGACTAAGTGGGATTTGAACCCAGAGTTCAAACAAAACCTTTGATTTGAGCACATTCCAAGGTTGAACTCTTAAAAAAACAAAACAAAAAAACCAGAGTGACCTCAAGATTGGAAAGTATTAATCTTCAGGTACACAACCTATTGGTTTGGGGTAATACCCATCCAAAAAAAGAGACACCAGATATTCTCACCAAGAAACACCACAATCATCATAACTCCAAATGTTTAAATCCTTTGTAAACATGAACAACCAAAACAATATGATTCCAGCCAAAACTAGTACCCCTATTGTAATGTACCCTGAGCAAAGCAATTTATCTGAAGTGCAAGCCAGGAACTTTAAAATAGCAATTATGAATGTGTTTAAGGACCTTAGAGAGGATATGAATAGATGTCTCAATGAAGATTGGAAATAAAAATTCACAGGTGGATAAAACAATGAAAGTGATTCAAGATGTGAAGATAGAACTTAACAAAGAAATAGAATTGCTAAACAAAAGTCAAACTGAACTAGAGCTGGAAATGGCAAACTCCAGAAGTCAGACAAAAAGCTCAGGAGTGAAGCCTTACTGACAAATTGGAAGCTGTGAGAATTTTGGGTCTTGAAGACAAGGCAGGAGAAAGGGATAGCTCAGTCAAAGAAAATGTTAAATCTGAAAAACTCCAGGCATAAAACATCCAGGAAATCTGGAACACTGCGAAAAGACCAAACCTGGGAATAAATATAGAGGAAGAAGAATCCTAGGTCAAATGTACCGGAAATATTTTTTAGCAACAAAAAAATCATAAAAATTTCCCAATCTAAGGAAAGAGATGCCTTTAAAGGCATGAAAGGCATACAGAACACTAGAGAGATTGGATGAGAAAAGAAACTCCCCGAAGTACATAGTAATGAAACACAAAACAAATCGAACAAAGAATGCTAAAAGCTGCAAGGGAAAAAGACCAAGGCCCAACAATAGCATTTTTCTTTTCTATCAATTTTTAAAATTTTCACTTTACATTCCAATCTAAGTTCTCCCTCCCACCCCTCCTCCCATCCCCTTTGTTCTCTCCCCCCTCCATCCACTCCTCCCAACAGGTAGGGCTCCAATGGGGAGTCAACAAAGTCTAACACAAGAAGGAGAGATGGCTCAGTGTTAAAGACTAGGCTCACAACCAAAAATATTAGAATATCATTTTTCAGTGGAGACTCCGAAAGCTAGGAGGGCCCAGATGGATGGTCTACAAACTTAAAAAGACCACAGATGCCAGACCAGACTACTATGCCCAGCAAATTATCAGTGCAATTAAAGGAGAAAGAAAAATTTCATGATAAAAATTAAGTAATTTCTGTTAAGAGAAGCTTTTTCCTTGAGAGGAGCCTTCCCACCAGCCTGGTTCTAGAGCCGCATCAGTCCCAAATAAACACACAGGAGGCTGCATTAATTATGAAGCTGTTGGCCTTGCTTGTTTCTTACTGGCTAGCTCTGACTTAAGTAATTACCCCATAATTGTTAATCTAAGTATTTCTCTTACCGGAGAACAGTTCTGGGCTTCCTACCCCATGGCGGTTACATCTCGACTTCCTGTGTTTCTCCTACCCAGAGTCCTTCTGGACTCCTAGTCCCTCCTATCTAGATTCCCTATTGGCCAGACAGTGCTTTATTGACAAATGCACAGGACTTCCCCAACATCTCCTCTTTTCTGTTTAAACAAAAAGAAAGGTCTTAACTTTAGCATAGTCAAATTATATATAACAGAACAGTTATCAAGTAAGAACCCAGTTACAACATTTTTTCTATCAACATTTAGTAAGATTTAAAGAAAATATCATCTATCTCATTCTTGTGAGTCCAAAGTCCTATATGTAGCTTATCTTTTATCATAACTAAGGAAAACTATAATTATAGCTATCTGTCTTCAACTCTATCAAAGACCACAGAAGGATAATATGTAAACACTAGGATTGACAGAGATATCTGGCTGCCTGGACAGTCACCCGAAGTTCCTCTGTAACGTTGGGTCATCCATCTTCAGCCCATAGGCCACAATGTGTCTGGAACACTTCTCAGCAAAGCAGGAAATTTCAAACTGTCCATCTGCATTGGCAGTCTGTTAGTCATTTCTCTGTCCTGCAGAACGTCTTGTAGACTCTTCCATAAAGCAGGAACCCTGTAAGACTGAGTTCAGCAGTCACTTTCCTGTGGGTCCTGCATGTCCAGATTATCAAGCAGTACAGGCAAGAGCAGTTTCTTGCCCAAATGGCTAATCTTGCCATGTTGAAAGCCAACTCCATAACAAGTTTCTTCGATGCCCATCTTCCTCTCAGACGTAATTGGTGCTGCCAGGAGCAGACATTTCTCATTGTCAAGAAAAACCCTAAACCATTTTAAATGCCATTTTCTGAAGGTCTTTGAGAGGTTTGAAGAGTGTTTATCTCAAATATATTTCTGTATATCTAGAAAACCTAACGTACCTAACTATAAATTCTGACTTATAAGTAACTATCTATAATTTGTATTGAATTATGCATTACTTTGTAAAAGATCAGTATAAGCACAATACTTAATCAAGAGGAGAAATATACACATCATAAAATTGACCTTGAATTTGTATCTATAAATGAAAAACAATACCCATACCATAATTCCCCTTTTTACCATTAAAAAAGATTGGCTGTGATCACTAGCCAATTGTAAACAACCCCATTTAAATGAAAACAAAGATTTATAAACAAGATGGGAATTAGGACGTCGCTCATTCCAAACTGCTTCATGCTGGAAGGGGGCGCTGTTCATACCATGGGGATCATGACAAAACTCAGAAACCTGTATAAGTCCTTATTTTCAGGGTCTGTAAGGCTGTATCATCTTAGCTGTTTCAGTTGTTGGAACACCTGGTCCACTGCTTCCGGGGGTCTTGGTTCGTCAAACCACAGAAGCCTAGAAGGAATCCTCAGCTTTTCATTTTCTGTAGAAACATAAGTAAAATCTCCTTTCCCAAGTAACATATCATTATACTTAAATTTTGAAGTTAAGGCATTTTTAAAAGATAGAAGTTGGATTAATTTAGCAGCATTTATAATCAAGTGTACTTTAGTAGCAGTTCCTTCTTGAGCAAGCAAAAAACTAAAAACACAATAGCGTACAGTATCCAGACTTTCTGTGTATTTTCCATCTTTACGTGGCTTATTTATTTATCTATTATTATTATTACTCTATTTCTTTCAATTTTAGTTATTTTTCTCTGA